TTTTTTTTAAGAAAAATGATATTCATCTCCAGTGGGGATGCATCCCCAATCTATGTGGCGTTAATGTGGTATTAAATGATAGGTGAAATTAAATAAGTCATTTAATTTCACCGACTTATTTAATTTTACCTATCATTTAACCAATAATTTACATCCACATAGATTGGGGATGAATAGCATTTTTCTTTTTTTAAAAGAACTGAGAGACCTTCAAACTCAAAATTTAGAAAATAAGCTTTTAAGCAAATATCTTAATATTATTTTTGTCATTTTTTAAATTTAATGTAACTAATGTATAAGATAAATAATTTTTTTTTATATATTTACGCTATTATATAGCCAACTATATTATGGCGGCCGTCTTGCTAGTACTGTTTAAAAGGATCGCTTCTACAAAATCTATTTTTAAAAAAAATCTACATCAAAAGAATGAATTCTTCAAGGTCGTTTGGATAAACAATGGATTCCCCAACTTCCTTTACATAATTTTGTTACTTAATCTCGAAGAAACGAACCCTTACGCGTTGCGTTCACATTGAAAGACTTATCACTCGGTGACACGCTTGTCCCAATCCCTTTGCCTGTGATAAATAGGCGAACAGAGTTCAGATTTTCAGAACGCTCAAACGAGCACGAATTTTGATTCAATTACCTCCTCCACAGCAAACCCACGCAGAAATGGACCTAAGAGAATCCATCAAGAACCAAACACAGGCATCACTAAAGCTCGCCCAGCACTTGGTTTCAACTGAGGCCAAGGATAAGAATTTGGTGTTCTCGCCGCTCTCGATTCACGTGGTGTTGGGTCTGATCGCGGCCGGATCCAAAGACGAAACCCTTAATCAGTTGCTTAATTTCCTCAAATCGAAGTCCACTGATGAACTCAACTCGCTCTCCTCTCAGCTTGTAACTCTTATTTTCGCTGACGGTAGCTCCCTTGGTGGGCCTCGCTTGTCATTCGCTAATGGGGTTTGGATAGATCAGAGTCTCAGCTTGAAGCCCAGTTTCAAAGAAATTGTTGATAATGTTTACAAGGCAGCTTCTGATCCTGTTGATTTTCAAACTAAGGTTAGTTTAATTTCTATTTTCAATTGTAGAACTCATTAGCCTGTTTATCGTTGATCAACGATTGAATGTTTCCTTATAACTCTTTGATGTGGAGGTGGTTTGTGTGCTGTCGAATTTCTTTTTCTAATCAATTCAGACTCTATTGTGGATGTATCTGAAATTCAATTAATATGAATACTTTTGGGGAAAATAGGTGATGAAATTTGGAAAACTAATTTCAAAAATTATAAAAATTGGACCATTTGATCCATGTTTATTAGTTTGGTTAATGGGAAATTTGTTTCTTCCAATTGGATTGTTGAACTTAAAATTATTATAATTGGTCGTTTTATCGAATTTTATTAAGGGAAAGCTCGTTTAGAAGTCCAGTATTACCAATGAAAAATGAATTTAGTTCAATTAGTTAAAAATACTTTTTATCTACACATCTTGAGAAAGCACGACTACTACTCATTTATTCACCGCTCATTTCTATCCGGTTATAATTTAAATTGTTTATAAACACTTCCCAAACGAGTTATTATGTAAATAAACATAGCTACAGGAATTTGAGCTTGAAGTATTTCTCAAGTGAGAACAATTTGTGCATTGTATGAATTTTTCTAAGTTACAATAGAATTGAGTTTGATCTTGACTATTAAATAATTCTTGGTTATTAATAGGTTACAATTAACATGAATTTGATTTCATTTATTAACAGCTTATTCGAAAGAAAGTCGTAAGATGAACTTCATAGTATCAATTAAATTATTATGTATGAAAAAACAACTGGAAGTTTTTGTGTGCTTAAATTTTATTCACTCTTGGAAGTGATAATATTGATATGTTGTCCTCATTTCACCATGGACCAAATTGGAAGGTGGCTTCATATCAAAATTGTACTATAGGATCTCGTAAGGTTTTTACCCAGGTTAAATCATTGAAGATTTTGTCTTTCGTTTTTAAAATTTTTCACTATTTTCTGCTTCTAACTGAAAACTTGATCTGCGTACATTCAAAAGTTGCTAAACTAAGCCCAACTAAGCCTGAGGCATTTTCTCCTGAATACTTAATTTTTAACTTACTAGCCATACACCAGTGGTACATGTAATTTTAAACTTTAACATACTTGCCATGCACCAGTTGTGGTAAAAATTGGTTGGACATTGTAAGAAATTTTGCATTATTTTAAACTTGTTCTTTTGTAAGTTCTGTAGTTGTTTACAGAATTGTGAGAGTTTGACATTTCTTGTCTTCATATTAGTATCGGTCACCAAGAAATCCCTGTCTGAATGGACAAAAAATGAATCTAGCTCCCTGACTCCGAATTTATTGGACACAAGGCTCTGCTACTGTTTTGTTTGGTGGTGGTGGTGGTGGTGGTGGTGGTGATGGTTATGTTAACAAGCATATAACCAACTTCTGTTTAAAGTATATTTGTAAATGGCACTCATGGCCCATGGCATTTAAAATAAACCTTAAAACATATAGTTTCTATTGTAATGTCAATGAATTTATGCTGTAAACAGGTATTCTTCTGCTTGTACACCTTGTGTTGTAGGAGAAAAAGGAACTGGCTGGGTGATTGTTCATGTTGTATACTCCTACTTCTGCAAATAAATTGATTAACAATGTTTTAATTGTTATGTTCTTTATTCTTGATATTTCCGAAGGCTGCTGAGGTAACCGGTGAAGTCAATCTGTGGGCTGAAAAGGAAACAAGTGGCCTTGTCAAAGAAATTCTTCCACCTGGCTCAGTTGATGCTTCCACGAGGCTCATCTTTGCGAATGCAGTGTATTTCAAAGGAGCTTGGAGTGAGAAGTTCGATGCTTCAAATACCAAGGACCACGACTTTTTCCTCCTAGATGGGAGCTCAGTACAAGTACCCTTCATGAGCAGCAAAAAGAAGCAATATATACGTTCCTTTGATGGTTTCAAAATTTTGAGCCTTCCGTATAAGCAAGGTGAAGATAAGCGCAAGTTCTCTATGAATTTCCTTCTTCCAGACACCAAAGATGGACTGCCGGCTTTGGTAGAAAAAATCAGTTTGGAATCAGAATTCTTGGAGCATCACCTCCCATATCAAAAGGTCAAAGTTGGAGAATTCCGTATCCCAAAATTTAAATTGTCATTTGGGTTTGAAGCCTCCGAAGTTCTTAAGGGACTGGGAGTCGTGTTGCCGTTTTCTGGTGGTGGTCTCACAGAGATGTTGGACTCACAAGTTGGTCAGAACCTTTATGTTTCTAGCATTTTCCACAAGTCATTTATTGAGGTGAATGAGGAAGGCACGGAAGCTGCTGCTGCTTCTGCTGGTGTGGTTAAACTGAGGAGTTTAGTAGTTGAGGATGAGTTCGATTTTGTTGCTGATCATCCATTTTTGTTCATCATCAGAGAAGATATGACTGGAGTTGTGCTATTCGTCGGCCACGTTCTTAATCCTCTTCTTGGCTGATCAAATGTACTGAACTAGACTTACGTATACAGAGTCTTAACGATCTACTGAGGCCTGTATTTTTCTAATTCCTATAGCTTCGACTAGCTGTGCTTTATGATACTCGTATCATGTCATCTGGTTTCTCTTGTTATTGTAAGGGGGATTCCATGCATACACTAAACTGCTAATGTTATGTTCTCTATACCATCTTTATATGCCTGTTTTCTGAGACTGATCGACATGTTCCTTTTCTTCATTTAATTTCAACTTGAAACTGGAATATTGATTGCTAGAATACCCTTTACATTGATGTGATGTGCTAACGGACAACATTTAGCGTTCATGTCTGTTCAGGAATTCAATAAAGCAACATTTAGCCATTGTTGGATGGCCCTTTTTGGCCAAAACGTGTTTTGATTAGTGAATTGTAGGGGAACTATTTAAAGTTGAACGTGCATTGCACGTTTCTTGAAATATTTTGGAAGTATTGTAAAAGTAATATTTGATGTATGTTTGTTGAGAGGATTTGATAAGTCTCAAACGAACTAATGATAATAAAATTTAGGATAGAAATTTAAGAGAAGAAAATTGTACTATTAAAATTCAACTTCTATTATTTAAATTTTTTGTAATGATGAAATATTACAAATGAATAACTTCTATACTATATTTGGTACTTAAAAATTAATTGTTAATATATGAATTTAAACACAATTAAAATTCATAATTACATGAATAGAAATAAATTCATATATAATAATTTTAGATTTATCAAAGTTAAGATTCATTAAATCTATATCAATGTGAATGTTAATTAATTAAGAAATAATAATACGAAATTCATACATGATAAGGATTTTTTAGTATTTATTATATATTGAAAGGGAAAAGTATGATATTATTGAAATAATTGAATTGTAGTATGATTAAAATCGCCCAAAAATGATTCTTACTTGAAGTGATATTTAAAAATTATGAAAAAAATTTAGATTTATATGCAGAATACTTTATTATGTGAATGTGTCGAGTTGAAAATGAGCATGTAGAAAAATGTTTTCAAATAATGGTTGTAATGTAACAAAGTATTGACAAATATACCGTCTGTCCGTTGTTGTATTATTGTGTGTTGATTGGTCAATATTAAAGATTGGAACATAAAAAAAAAAAAAAAATCTCGAGCAGTAAATAACCCAGCCAAGGCCATCTGAGCTAAGGATAACAAAATACACCTACTAATCTGCCCGAGTTTTATATTTATATTTTTAAATATAAATAATTATTTAAAAATAACAAATAAGTAAATATACTGACAAATAAGAATATTTAATTCTCGTCTAGTCTCTTGAAAATTCGTTGTTGTCCGACCCATTGTCATCATAATCTAAGCCTTTACTTGAATATTTTTTTTAAAGTTTTTTTGTCAAAAAAATAAGTGAAAATTACATTAGGTACATCAATTATAACATAATTTTCAATTTTACTACACATCTTTCTTATTCTAAATATACTGAAATTCAGTAATAGAATTAATATGCACGAATAACACCCAATTCTTTCAAATTAATACATGTTCTCTTCATCAAGCTTCAGAATCATCACCCACACTGGCGAATCCAGCACCCGACGAGCACCAACTGCCACCCTAGCTGGATCTGTCGGAACTTTGGAATTCTAATCTCGTTCAAAAATGAACGGAGACTCATTGGCTGAACAATAGGACAACTGTTGGAATTAATTGATAAAGTGTTAAATAATTAAATGTGATATTTAATTATGTTGGCCATTGTAATTAATTTGGGTGAATTGGAAAAATCTCCAATATAGGCCAATAAGTTGATAAACTCAATTTTAAGTGTCTTATATATGGTAAGGAATCCCATATCGAAAGTTTACAAGAAAAAAGACTTGTTTATATAGTGGGATGTGTGTACAGGTTATAATTTAATAAGTGGTCTACAACTTAGCTAACTTTGGCTAGCCAAAGGCTAGCTAACTAGCCACCACTAGAGTGGTGCTTCGTACCACTCGCGCCGTGCTCGGTCCCGATCCTGGCCCGCGCACGTCGTAAAGTTCACATTGGGCGCTTTAGAGAAGTTGTGGAGCCTTAAAGTTTTCAGAAAGGGACTCATGGTTCGATGACATGGCAACGGGAAGTTCGATGAGTTGGCATTCTAGGTGGCACACACATCACTTAGTCATGCGTGGCAGTTGGTTCAGTTGGACGTACGCGTGGCATCTGCATGGCTGGTGACTGTTCAGAAATTGGTGAATAGGCATGATGAATGGACACTATACTTCATGGTTTAATCTAGACCGTCAGATCATGAAACAGTGCGATCCAATGGTTAGAACGTATCAGACCAAGTGGTGCACTAGTTCGTGAAATGTCGCACACTCATTCAATGAGACATTTCAATCTCTATAAATAGAGACTTTCAGATTCGTTTTTTTGTATACCAAATCAATTAATATATTCTTGATTTCTAAATTCGTTCTCTCTCTATATTCTGCAAAAATTCCTTCAATATTTTTGTTATTATTCTGTTCGAGTACGTTCATTCTTTGGTTCGACCGACAAGATTGGTATTGTGTAATATCGACTTTGGAAGAAGCGTTGTATGTTGGGAGACAGACGTCCATAATCTCGTTTGCACATTGTTGGGGGGTGAAATCTGTCTTAAGGAGATTTGCTTTGACATACCTCGCTTCATCTTCTACTTTTATTTTCTATTATTTCTCTTTATTCTTTTGATTGCGGTAGTCGAATTTCCGACAACAACAACATGTTGGACAACTTATCGAACAAAAAGAAGACCAACAGTTGTGGCGCTACGGCAACAAAGTGGAAAGAAGGTCGAACAAGGCCTCAAAAAACCAAAGTAGTGGCTTCCGTTGGCGTGAAGAAGGTTAGAGTAGGAACCGTTGTAGGCCTGCAATGGATCAAGCAAAAATACTAAAAAACCACTAACAAATCGCGCATGCTTCTAGGATTTGTTCCTTTCTGTTTTATTCATTTGATACTCATTTAATTTGATTTAATTATGTTTATCTGTCTATGTGAAATATAAACCTTTTTTTATAATTTATTTTAAAAAATAGACAATCAATATTTTTGGCTTTTGTTAATTTCTCTTGGTCTTATTTGCTTTTACGTTATTCTTTGTTAGGATTTAAATTTTTACATTGACAAATATTTTTGGATTTGGCACAATAGTCAATTGAAGAGTATGTATTAATTTTTTTCCTCTTATATTGGGCGAATGCTCGACGGTCGGCTTCTCTCACTGCCCTAGCAGCCTAGCTGGATCTACTGGTTGGATCCGCCACTGATCACCCACCTTTGCCATCAAATCCGTAGCCAATCGCAACCATTGAACCATAGCCGATGAACACCCCCATTGCCAATCCACCATCTAGCGCTCTCCCTCCCCACCAGGGGCGGAGCCAGGAATGAAGGATACGGGGGGCAAAAATTTTTAAAATTGAATGTACGAATAAAATTTATATATAACTAGAAAAATTGTAATATAACGTTACATATTACAATTGTACCCGACGATATTTTATAGCATAAAATTCATTTATAATAGCATCTAGATCTAAATTAATACTAAATTCTCGTTCAATGTTTAGTGTTAAACAATCAGCGAGAAAACCATTATCCATTTTGTTACGAATTTCCGTTCAATAGAATCAAATGGTTCCACATTAAGATTAGAAGATGAAGGCCGTTCAACTTCAGGGGATGAAATTGGATTTGGTGTGGACGCCGTAGGAATTGGAGCACCCCGATATTTGTTACTCTTTGAAAAGAAAGATAACAAAGTTCTTCCTTTCTTGGAAGAAGGCCGATCTTCTTCCATATTAAACTTAAGAGCATAAATATCAAAAAAACTTCAATATTCTATAAATTCTTATGATTATATCATAGGTTAAATTGCTATTGGCTAAATTCTCAAACTAACATTTCCTAAATAAATGCCTAAATCCTAAAGCAACTTAGCAAATCAAATCAAATCCCTCTTCCAACTGCAAATTCGTTAATGATGCAGTACTGATATAGACAACTTCAATTGCAATAACTTTTAAGTTGTAATATATATAGGCCGAACAACTGAGCATTGCAGTAAACAAAATCTTGAAATAAAATGTAGTTATATACTAAACCATAGACTTTGTTCAATGATAACCAGATTATTCTTGTTAAACAGTCACTAATATCCTTCATATTGACGAAAATAGAAATAAATCTCAACATTGAAAACAGAAACAAAGTGGTGGTCTCTGAAAAGGCAAAAAATAGCATACAAAAAATGGAAATCATTTCAAATGGAAAAACTTTTCAAATGTCTACTGGCATTGAGATTGAACATCAAGAAGTCACATGTCCCAGAACGATTTGAGTTTCAGAATTCACAAACAAAAAATTACAACAAATCATACAGCCAAGTTTCATATATGTGAAGAAAACATACCTCAGTCCTCACATCAGGCTGCAGGCGTCAATGAAACTCGGAATGAAACTGAAACAAGATATTAAACACAAAACAAAAGAAATTAAACCCGGAATAGTGAAGAAATTAAACATAATTACACAAAACACAAGAAATTGAAGAGTGAAGAAGAAGTGAAGAACAATTAGCAGGCTGCTTACCGGATGAAATTGAACAGCGAGAAAGGGTTTCAGGCTTTCAGCAGACGGATTTCAGGTTCAGCGGACGGTGGACGGCGGTAATGTCGGGCGACGGCGAGTTGGAAGAGAGTAGAAATGGAGAGAATATTATATGGGGTTCAAATCTTGGGTTTCGTGGAGAGCCAGGGAGGGTTTGGGTAGGATTCATGGGAATTGGGTTGTTTTATGTGGGGTTCAAATTGGGTTTCCTTCTTTCAAATGGGCTGGACAGGTGGGTTGCCAAGTTGGGCTTGAAATAAAAAAAATTTCCAGAACTTGGGCTTGGGCAAGGGTGGGCTACAGCCCACCCCAGCCCACCCCTGGCTCCGCCCATGCTCTCCACCCCACCCCACCAGCAACTTGTAAGTGGAGCCTGCAATGCTAAAATAGAGACATAGGGCCATTAACTGATGATAATATTTCGATAGTAGTGAATTTTCCTTTCGTGGTGGCTATTTACATAGCCGTTCTTGGTATTAGTTGTAACGCAGTCGGTTAAACAAGGATGGAGGCTCTCCTTGACTAAGTCCATGATTGGTAGGCTACACGCCTTAATCATGTGTAAATTCAAAAAATAATGTTATTTATAGTGATGACTATTGGTAGTCGCCCTACATGCATACACGTGACAGTTTGTTTTTTAATGCATTATTATGGTAATTTTTTATTGTCTTATTATTGAGATCATAACAAGCAAGTCAATCTTGTTTTTCCTAATAATTGAGCTTAATTGATTATATCTTCAAATCATTCAACAGTAAATCGATTGATTGTCGCCAAAAGATCATAATCAAAACTATCATATTACAAATCGAACTCATATTGAAGGCCAAGATTGAAATCAAGCATTCAAGTCAAATAGTCAAACTTTAACGATCATAGACTATACCTTTCTGTTCATATATAAAAGTACTAATACTTTGATATTTAGCAATAAATAATTAAAACTCTAAAATAATTTTATGTACCAAAAAGCTATTTTGATAATCTCTCGTATAAAATATTTTGATCAAAGATAAGATGGTTTTTCAAATTGATATTTGAACTTAAAATCATATTTTAAAAAATATCTCCTACCTTGAAAAATGAGTTGAAAATGTCTTCCACAAGTCTAAATTTTTCAGAACATTCAAGTCGAATCAAAAGAAACCAAATCGAAGAAATCAAGTGGAGGGTGGACGTCTGGTGCGAACTAACGGACGTCCGGAATCTCAACAGTCAAATTTTTTAATGTTCTGATGTCTAACATCCTAGAGCTATTTTTAAATGTCTGGACTTGAGGTGGACTTCCAAACACTCATCCGTTTTCTCAAAAAAAAAAAAAAAAATTGTTCTTTAAATTCTATAAATAGTATCTCTTTTTGCATTCATTGTAAGAGTCTTTAAGTGAATTAAAGAAATAAATATTTGAGCAAAATCATTTGAGTTTACATTATACTTATTTTATCTACTTTTTCATATTAAAAAAATTTGATTGAATAAAACAAATATTGTAATCATTATATTCATAAAAAAAATTCATTTAATACTTGAACTATAATGTATTGCTATTCATTGAAGTGTTATCTCTTTTAGTATTTAATTAATTTGTATCATTTATTAAGAGAGAAGCTTCATTGTAAAATCATTTTTCAAACTTCTGGGTCATATTGAGATTTCTTGAAAGCTTAATATTATATAAGGATTGATGTTCCTTATTTGTAAGTTACCGAAATCATTGTAAGGGTTTTGATTACTCCATAGGTCAATCAATATAGTGAAAATGCATTGTTCATAACGGAGAGTTTGGTAATGGAGGAAGTAGTTCATTGATTTGGATCGAACCTCCACAATTATATCTTTTGAACTTTCTTCCATCTACTTCCCATTATTTTGTTTATACTTATTATTTGATTGAATAATTTGTTTTTAACTTGCTTTATATAATTAGATGACGGTTCACTCAATCTAGTCTCTGCTCCCACCCCATTCATGTCTCTGACGAGATAAAGCGATCAAATTCTCATTTATAAATTCATTTTAATTCTCATTGTCATGAACCATCGACGGAATTATGTGTATAACAACGAGATCACGATGAGGAACAACTGTCTTAGAAATAACCACATCATCCTTACGAGCAATCTCCATTGTGTCCTAAAAATTATTTGCATCGTGATCCCCTCCATCCGAATCTTCGTGTTCACCCTCTGCGACATTCTTTCTCTCTAAAGTCAGGTAAAGAGGAGTAGTGTGCATTTTGTTCAATTCAAATGATAATTCACTTCTACATCAAAAACAACTTTCATAGGTGGAATCAGAATTAATGAATGCTCGTTGAATTGAAATCTCAGTTCCATGTCGTACTGAGAGAGATCGATTTTTAGCTTATATTTTAAATCATGGTACATTTCTACATATGATGTACTCGATGTTATGGAAATTGGAATACCACCACGTATATTACTCGTCTATTTCCATACACAACGATATTTTTCATCTAATTCGAAATCACCAAAGTAACAAATTTTGATCACAACCATATATGCATGACGAAACAGAATTTTTAATTATAAGAAAAAATTGTCAAAAATCGGCTCAGCCACTGGACAACAAAATTAAAAAAAAAAAAAAAAGCTTTAACAGCCGCCCATTAACAACCGGCTGTTTTTGTGGCGACTGAAAATTTTAAATTATTATCTTGAAAAATGTGTCGCTAAGTTTAACCCCAAACATTAAAATGAAAGCGTGTTCGTCTAGCTGTTGTAAAGTAAATTTAAATCTATTTCAAATCTTAGTTCCTAGAAATTTGTGCCCTAAATTCTACTGTTCATACAGCACACTCATTCCTCCCACCTCACATTCGCACAGCAGCAACCACTGGGTAAGGAACTCCCTCAAATTTTTACCTCAATACAGTTTCACATTGGGAAACTCTCGATGATGCTAGAACATCCATTTTTAGCATCATCAACATGATGATTCCACAAAAATTCGCATGCCTCAGCCTGGAACCATACCAACAGACATCAACAAAAACCCACCCAATTGTACACACACAATCTGCAGTCAAGCACGTAGGCTGCAACCGTTACGAACGGTCCAGCAGCACAAGCTGCAACCGTTCGAACCACCACCTCGCTTCACTGCCAAACCCATTTTCGAACCACCTGTTGCAAAACACACAAACCGCAGCTGCCACCAAGAAATCGAACAACCAACACCCACTGCTACACCTCAAAATCAACACCCAGTAGCCACAAAAAACAAAGAAAATAGAAAACCCATAAACTTACCCCATACCCGAACCCTCCAAACCTCATAGCCTTCGACCCGAATGCCAAAACCACCTTGCCACCTCCACCCACGCACCGGCGCCACCACGCGATGATGGCGCTGGACTGACCGCCTCGCCGGCGACAGTCGGACCGGAGGGAAGGGGCAGAGCCCTTCCCCGTCGCTCGCTCTCTGTCGGTGGAGAAATCGCCCCTTCCCATCGCCGGATTTTCCCCTCCCCTCTCTGCTCAATCGAAATGGGTTAGAGAGAGTGTGTGGTGTAGATTTTTGTTATATTTTGATTTTTTGAAATTACCCCCTAGCCCCCAAGTTTTAAAGTTATTATTTCAGTCCCAAAGCTTCAGTTATTAGTGAATTAGTCCCTGGAATTCTTGTTTCCCACAATTAGCCCCATTACTTTGAAAATATTATTTTCAGCCCTTAGATTTGTCAAGTTCAATTTTAATAAATATCCAATTAGGTCCCTAAACTTTGTTTTATCAGTTTAAAATTTTAAATTTTCGGAATACTAATTCAAAACCTATTTTCTATTTTGGCTAGACAAAACGTACAGATGTTTAGGAGATTGAGGTTACTTCCCAATCCATTTTTCACGTGGCTCGAGATAAATTGAGGTAGACTCGCCCCCATTAATTAGTTTAAATTATAATTGCATGTATTATGTAGATTTACGTGATTCATATGCTTTCATACATAAGATGAGAATATGTCATATGAGATATATGATGTTATTATGTTTGTCATAACTTATATGTTTTAATGCGTGAGAAGAGATGAGTGTCTCTTATGAAATAAGATGAGAATGTTATGCATAACTTATGTGCTTAAATGCACGAGACGAGACTACCCACACCCTATGTTTTTAAAGAGCCTATGATTTTCAAGAAAATGAGCCTATGATGATGATGTCACGATATGAATTGCNCAGTGGTGGCAACAATTTAATGGATAAAGCTACTTACTTTTGAAATTACGTATTTAAACACTATTAATGTATTTTGTCATTTCGGTTATTTCAAAAATTTGAGATTTAAAGTTTAATCAATTTTCTTAAGTTAATCAAATGAGTTTGTTGCCGTTGAAGTTCACAATTATTAAATGTGATGTTTAAAAGTTAGTTATTTCCGCAAAACGTTTTAGTTAAATTAGGGCAAAAGACGATGACGTGGCACTCTTGGTTCACAGAACTCCGGGCGTTATAGTTTTGGTTGTTAAAAGTCGGCTATTTTGGCTTTTAACAATCGGTTACCTAAGGCTGTTAACAGCAGGCTGTTAAGATTGACCGAAATCATTGTCATGAACACGAAGATGATTTTTTTTCTTATTTATGCTTAAAAAAATTATAGATCTACTAAAAAAATTTATTTACATGTTAATCTATGTCGAAATGAGATTTATTGATTAAAAACGTATATTAATTTAATGAAAACGAAATTAAACATACATAAATATACTTATCGAATCGAAGTAATAGATGTAAAAATAATTTCTTGTTCAACGTTTGCTCAATTTATGAGATTTTAATGTTGAAGCAGATGAAAAATGAGAAAATTTTTATCTATGTTAAAATAAATAGATAAAAAAAGTTAGTTGAAACTTGTTTGTTTCCCATAAAAATGCAATTTTGTACGTTGCAACAGTTCATCAGCCGCAATTTTGAACAATTTTGTCTCGATGTGGGACCCATCTCTTTTGGAAAAAAGGTCAAAAAATGCATTTTCTTATTAAGATAATGGGAAATAAATCAGGGCTTGATTTTGAAATTTTAAGTAGAAAGTGTTTGATTCCTACTCGTTAATAAAATGGTAGTAATATCTTTTAAATAAAATAATATTTTATAATTGTATTGTCGAGTATTTTTGTTTTTTATCATTCAAATAGTTATTGTGAAAATATGCCATTATCAAAAATTTAAAGTGAAAATTAGGAGGATGACCATTCCAAATTTTAGAAGTACCCAGCAAAACTAACATCTAGACAACGAAGAATTACTATACTAATGGAACTGTGAGGAAGCTTCAGAAAATGATGTAGTCACGTTCTCCCTCACCTCACTGGCTATCACAGTCCTCATGGCATCCCAAAACCCCACAGGAAAAATCTCTGGCCGCCTCTCCGGCATCCCCGGTGGCGCCAATGTTAATGCTGTTATAGGATCATTACAATCATCAAAACCACTGCTCATTTGACATACCCCAGCGTTACAAATAATCTCATTACGTTTTCTATTATTAGATCCAGATGCAATATCTTTTGCACCATCCACGGAATATTTTCTTTTTAATGTTGAATTCCAATGGTTTTTCACAGCATTGTCTGTTCGACCCGGCAGCAACCGAGCAATGGTAGCCCATTTGTTGCCGTACTTTGAATGAGCAGCCAAAATGCTCTCATCTTCTGCCGCTGTAAAGGGGCGGTGTTCAACATTTGGGCTGAGCTGGTTGCACCACCGGAGTCGACACGACTTCCCTGATCGTCCCTTTATGTATTTGCTTATCAAGGACCAACTACGAGCCCCATATTGGTCCACCAATCGGGTCAGGATCTTGTCCTCTTCGGCACTCCATGGACCTTTAATTCTTTCTGAAATATTCAAATTCCTTGCAGTTTTGTTCCTAGACATTGAAGATTCAGATGAATCTGAATCTGTAGAAGAAGAACCAACAGATGAAGAACGATTTAATGCTTCCATTTTCAAAAGAAAAACTAATATAGAGAATTGAGAAGATTTGAAAGTGTTTTGAGTGATTTTGAAAGACAGAGCAAGTGGGGTTTGAGTGATGTGAGATATATATAGATACAAGTAGTTACATGTGAACTAGAGAAATACCACCTGTGGTGCAGGCACTACGGCCTATACCTTTAAGACCTAAGGTGGGGGTGGGGTAGGGGTGGGTGGGATTCTTGGAAGCTTCCTTGTGTATGCCTATACCTTTTAGTTTGTCAATGTTTGGAATATAGACAAATAGGTGTTTAGTGAAGGGAAGTTTATATAGATTACAGATACAAGAAATTATATGTGCACTTAAGAGTTAAAAGGTATATATTTATGACGGACTGTCGTGTGTCGACAAGGGTAGTAATTCTAATCTTTCTTGAGGTGATCGTATATTTCTTTATTTTCATCTTAGACAGTTCGTAAAAGATATAACAGAAGGTAAAGGATTTGGTGGCGTGTTCAATTTAAACTTGAACTTGCACTTTCTTTACCCTCCTCGACTAGGAAAAAGTGCAGACCATGCTAATCATCCTAAAATTAAGTTGGGTCGACCATCTTCTCAGCTCAAGATACACGAGAGAAATAAAAAACGAGTTGGGTATGCACTTTCGTCAATAAGGTAGGGTTGGGGCGGTTCTTGGAAGCATTAATTGAGACATTTTGAGCGTCTAGTTGGACACACTCAATAACCATACAAATTTGGGATTTCGTATATTTAATTATTTACACAGATAAGTTGGTGTTTGGTCAATTCATAATAATAAAACACATTTTGGAACTGCAATAATTGCACTAACTGGTTATCAGGCAATTTAATTCAAGAAGATAAAATGAATTAAGAGTACAAAGTTGTGAAGAATAAATGGTGTCCTAGTCTAGATTCGAAGTTTTATTCTTAGGAAAAGATTTAGGTTGTCTAATCTCCGTACTTAAACGTAAAGAATTTGGTACCATTGTGATGTCAGATGAAATCTTTCATAGCTTCCCTACGTCCCTTGTCAACCTTTGTTATCGAAGTATTTAAATTAAAGGGCTTCTCAATAAATCGATTTTCTAACAATTCTATAGTAACGTATTGAAATTGAAGGGATTTTAAATAAATTGATTTCTATAGAGCCATTCCGAATTTATAGAGAACTCGTCTGATTCGAGCGATTATTTTGATTGTCAATCTTATCCAATTTGCAAGTTTCCAAGTCTGTCCCATTCAGAACTTTATCCCTATCCACACCGTCCCTCATTATACTTCTTAATTCTGTAATTTAGCGTGTTAAAACATGACAGTAAAGAAGCAGCTGTTTATCACTAAATTATGCCCTAAAACGCGATTTCAGTACAAATCTTAAAAACGTCAACTGGGGTCTACAATTCCCATTAATTTTCAAGCTTATTACAGCTGTGAGACTTGCAAATCTACTGAATATGATTGACTGCCGATAAAAGTTAGTTGAAGGGAGCAAAAAATTTCAATATTAGTCCTCAATCTAACATTTTAGTAGCAAAATCAACCTCTATAGAAGAAGTTAGATAGTTCTAACCTTTCATTATAAATACACAATCATAATTTCGATGATAAATGTCAAGGAAATCATTGTTCATTGTCCACGACCCTCATTCAATCATTACTCATTTCATATTGTTGAGTTTAAGCCCAAGTGAGTATTGATCATTGGAAAATCCAATGAAATGGAGTAGACCTAATCCTTAGACCCACTACTAGGCAACAAGTAGCGGTGGCAAACAGGTCGAGCGGCTCGACCGCTCGGCTTGCAGATGGCTCGAGCTCGGCATTTTATGAGCTTGAGCAGACTGGCCCGCTATGCGAGCTGAGCTCGCGGGCTAATCCAAAATCGAAGGTTTATTTAAAAAAAAAAGGTTTTTCTTTAAAAATAATGATGAGCTCAACCCACGAGTAACAAATCGAGCGGAAGCTTGGCTCGTGAGGAGCACGAGTCGAGCTCGTGTGTATACAGGCCGAGCCGGCCGGTTGCCACCTCTAGCAGCAAGCAACCACTTCTTTATCTCTACCACTTTTTTTCCTCGTCGAATGGGATCAAGAGGCAAAGAATTGATGACATTTTTCTTTTGCTTTACTAATTAACAAGACATACTGATGAGATATCGAGCAGATTAAGTGGCTTCCTAATTAATAAATAAAGCAATAAAAGAAACGTGCGATACTCTACATCATTCAATGAAGAAATTTAGTCATAGCTGTGCTATATAATGCATCAAAAGGCCCTCTACTTTACTTTCAACTTAATACCTTGTGGGAATAATGCAAAAAAAATATAAAAACGAGGCTAAGTTTGAACTAAAGGAGACCAATCATCGATAAAATGAAGCATATACGCAATATTACGAGAAATGCTTTACAATTCAGCATAAATTTAGGCAGTTCGATTATTAAAAATCATTGTCAAATACGATAAAAAGTTTGAATATCAACTTGTCATATTTTAAAGTTTGAGGATTAACTTACTATTTAAGCAATACACTGGATGTAAGTGGTCCAGTTTTACCTTGAAAGAATAATGGCATAAAATTAACGAATTTTGACTATGGCTTCAATGGACCCATCACCAGCCTGGACGAATCTCACGTGGTTTGATTTTGAATTTGGATTGACTTTGGAGCGTCATCTGGGTGGACTTGGCCGCACTCGCCGTTGACAAGCGTGTGAATTTATATTAATTTCAACAAAATTGAATTTCTAAGTGCTTTAGTTAGCTTAAGTTTTGCGTATGTTTGACGCCATTTTTTGAAAATAATATATTTTAAAATTGAATTTTTTTTAAAAAATGTACAGTAAAAAATAGAAAAAAATTTGAAGTTTATGCATAAAATTATTTTACGAGAATGTATAGTTAAAAATCAATTTTAAAAAAATAATAATTTTGAGAATGCTTCCTCTCGCGCGCTCGCTCTCTCTCTGTTTTTTTTTTGCTGCTTTTGTTAAAATGGCAAATGGGTTGAGCGTCAAGCTGAATTCCAGTTTGGAAGTATTTAAAATTTTAGAATTGAATATGTGCACACTTCTGCAAAAATGATTCACATTTCTAAATTGAGCTCGAAGTTGTTTTTATATACTTGATTTGTTAATTAAACGAGCTCAAAGTTTGTCTTCAATTTTTCATTTTAATTAAGTCATTGATTACTTATGTTAAAAAATAAAAAATGACTATGTAAATAAACAAAATTTTCTCTCAAAAAATTGTATGAATCATCAAATGTAAAAATTGATGTGCACAACAAATATTTATAGGTTTCAACCATCCCATACGAAGTGGTTCCAAACTTAAATCAAGAGGTGCAATGCTTCATCAATAAACCACCGAAAATTCGAAAAAAATCCAGCCAACGGTCACATTTTATAACTATGCAACCACATAGGCTATAACTATGCGGATGAATAGTTATAACCTTGGCTGCTTCTAAATTTCCTGATTGTGCCTATGCGACCGCATGCATAAAAGGCCATGCGGTTGCATAGGTCATTTTCATGGCGTCAATTTTCCCTTTTCATTCATCCAAGATTCATTCATCCATGATTTTGAACAATAAGATTCCAACAATCCCTCACTTGAACCAGTTGTTTTTCGTGACAAATACCGATGAAATCATATACACAAGTGTTAAATTTACACAAGTTCCTCTAACTAGATTAGTGCTAATATGGTCTTGTACTTATCCTTTTTTCTTTGAACTTTTGAAGAGAGGCAACTCCAACTTTCTAATGAGGCGGCACCACCTCGAAGTTTACATAGGTGAAGTTCTTCTAGTATCTTTTTTACGTTTAGAGATACTTGTACCCCGTACTAAATTTCATTAAGAGTTTTAATTATAACTCATCCCTCCAACAGTAACAACCAACACCATTTATCAAAGATATGGTTTAATAAATTTAATAGTGTTGAAATCCATACATTTATCGAATGATTTGTTATTACCCTTTAAACCTAAATATACTTGTTTAGTATAATTTCGGTAAGGTTGCTATCATTGGTGGACTTAATTAAGGAGTTTCAACTCCATCCTACTTGATGTTAATTTTACTAACTTTCACGTGAGAGGTTTAGTAAACAGATCAGCTAAGTTCTCACTAGACTTAATATGTGTAAGAGAAAGTATTCCAAGCTTTATTAATTTCTTTACATACTCATGTCTTAGACTCGTGTCTAGACTTTCGATTATATATTTCGTTATAAGCTCGAGGAAGAGTAGCTTGACTATCACACAAGATAGGTATTGAGGAAATTTTCTTTATGTCTAAATGTATTTCATATAACAAATCATTTAGCCACTCAGCTTCTTTTCCGGTTTCGGCCAATGCTACAAATTCCGACTCTATTGTTGAGTAAGTAATGCAAGTTTGTTTCTTAGACTTTCAAGAAACTGTACCTCCTCCAAGATAAATATCCAACTTGAAGTGGACTTATTTTCTCGTGCACTTGATATACAACTAGTGTCAGTATATCTTTCCAATATTTTAGAAAACTTTATACATTGTAGTCCAAGGTTTTTAGTTTTCTTGAAGTAGCCAAGAACCCTTCTGTTGAATATCCAATGTTCGGAACTTGGATTTCTAGTAAACCTACTTAGTTTACTCACACCAAATGCTACATCGGTCTTGTACATTGTGCCACGTACATAAGACTTCCAATTGCACTTGCATATTCTATTTAAGCTATTACTCTACCATCGTTCTTTATCAATTTGATACGTGGATCTAACGGGTATTAGCCTCTTTAATGTTCAAATGATGGAACTTATTTATCACATTTTCAATATAATGTGATTGACTCAATGTAAAACCCCCACTATCCATTTTAACTTTGATACCAAGAATAGTATCTACTTCTCCAAGATCTTTCATTTTGAACATGGAGGATAGAAACCTCTTC